AAAAATTCCGGTGGAAAAGAAAAAACAGCTGCAAAAAGTTCAGCTGCAAAAAAAAAACAGCTGCAATAAAATCCAACTGTAAAAAATTCAATTGCAAAAAAAAAAAAAAAAAAAAAAAACAGCTGCGTAATATTCGCCTGCAAAAAAATTCAACTGCAAAAAAAAAAACAGCTGCGTAATATTCGCCTGCAAAAAATTCAACTGCAAAAAAAAAAAAACAGCTGCGTAATATTCGCCTGCAAAAAAATCCAGCTGCAAAAAATTCAGATGCATTAAAAATTTGCCAGCAAAAATTCACATGCAAAAAAAATCAGCTGCGAAAAACTTACCTGCAAAAAAATTTAGCTGCAAAAACTTCCAGTGGGAAAAAAAACAGCTGCAAAAAATTCAGCAGCTAAAAAATTCAGCTGCAAAAAGGTCAGCTGCAAAAAAAAAAAAAACAGCTGCAATAAAATCCAACTGTAAAAAAATTTTATTGCAAAAAAACAGCTGCCTAACATTGCCTGCAAAAAATTCAGCTGCAAAAAAACAGCTGCGTAATACTCGCCTGCAAAAGATTCAGCTGCAATAAAATCCAACTGTAAAAAATTCAATTGCAAAAAAACAGCTGCGTAATATTCGCCTGCAAAAACTTCAGCTGCAAAAAATTCAACTGCAAATGTGTTGATGTTTTGGGGAAATAAAGACAAAGCAATCGACACTTGATGCAGTCGAGCAGCTTCAAGCCAATGAAATGAGCCAATTTGGTCACTTGACACAACAGGTGGGCATAGCTTTGTTCCAGGCTGAACGAAGCTGAATGAGGAGTTTTTCTTGTTAAATAGATATGATTAGAAAATGTCAGGTAGCTACTAGAACGCCATTTGAATTTTTCATCTAATCGGACTGGGTGAAATAACTGAGCCGATCACAGCTGGTGCTGGACCTCTGTCTGCTCTTGGTTTGATGCGGAAAAATCCTTGGCAAACTCCTTTTTTCCCCTGAACAAATGAGCTCAATTCATTGGCTAGAAGCTGCTCGATTGCATCGAGTGTAGATTGCTTTGGCTTGAGCTCACCAAAAGGTCAACATAATGGCAGCTGAATTTTTACCAGATAAAAATTCTGTGTTTTAAAATTCGGTGTACACATTTTAACAGACTGTTTTCTTCCATATTGGGATTACTCCTTCAGGGAAATTCTGGTTCCAGTAGCTTACAAAGAGTAGAAAGAGTTAAAGCAAGATGCCAGTAAAGTGTATATAGTACAAAAAAGAATAAAAAAAAGAAAAAGTTGTAATGTCCTGAAATATGCTTCCTTTAGATATAAAAATATCTGCATAGTAGAGAGCTAAGGGAAGACTGCACAGTAGTTGACTGGAGTCTTTGCACTTCAGCTGCATAGATGTACAGAACACTGATCTTTATTTATTCACTGGATTGATGATTGCCTGAAAAAATTGAAGCCCCCATCCGCCATGTTGGTACTCCTTATCCCACGGAGACACACAGTAAAAATGCCTACATGTGAAGCATTTGGCTGCAAAAAAAAAGCAGATTGCCAGTTGTGGGAAGATGTTTCACAGATAATGTCACTGTCACTGTCAGTCTGTGCATACATTGTATGTTTAGTTTCAGATTCTTGTAACTAAGACCTGAAAGCAAAATATAATGTTGATGTTGTCTGTTATTTTACCAATTTATCTGATTTTGCTTGTGTAGAAACTGAAGCTCTAATGCACAGACAAAGCAGAGAAGTATCTGGCATCATGCATGCACGATGTGCAAATGTAAAAATACTATAGCATTAACAGATATGTCATTGTAATTCAGTCTTTATGTAAAATCCTAAAATGTTATGTAAGATGTAATTATCATAGCAATGTAATAAATACATGTCTATTACATGTAGATCTTAAATTGAGCACTTTTGGCACATCTGTGTTATTATGATCCACTAAAACATTAATTTTACTGTAATTGATGATTTGTATAATATGTTATATTACATGATTTAGAGACTTCCTTGACTTCATAATGACTATGCAATATGATGTGCCTATTTTTTTTATTATTATAATAGATTACAGTAAACTACTGATGCTATGAAATAGCAAGTTTGTGTCAAAGTTTTAAATTTATCTTTATTTTTAAAATCTTAAGTCCCCCTGAAAACAAGAACATTGTTGAAAACCCCTTTTAAAGGCATATATGTCTTAAATGTTTAAATACTTGCATGCACCAAGCTTCAGTTTAACACTTAACACATAAATTGTAAGGGATTCATTATGTAAATAAAGTAGGAGGGTTGACACTTTTTGTTTAACAGTAAAAATTATTGATTGATTGACTTTATTGATCTCACAGTGGAGACATTTTCATGTTACATCAGCTCAAATAGTCAAAAAAGAAAAAGGTGCCAAAGGAAGAAACAGTTGCATGGATATATACAGTATATACAGTGCATCCACATATGACAGCTTTTTTTTTAAAGTAGGATGATTATACAGGGTTATTGCACAGGATGTTTACATGGGTATTTATATAGATGTATATTTATATTTATATATACAGTTATTGCACTGGGTGTCAAATATAGAGAAACAGGTTATTGCACAGGGTATGAAACAGACATTACAAATTGCACAAGTTATTGTTGCACTATAGAGTGTGTTTGCAGCAGGGATGACAGACCTGCGGTAGCGCTCCTTTTTACAAACAGGGTGTAAAAGTCTTTCACATTATTAAGCACACAAGTTAAGATTGGTGCTAATTAGTAAGCAGCAAAATCAAAATCTAAATCACTTTCTTGCCTCATAGAAGCAAAATAATAGAACTCATCTAACCAGGGCACTAAAGGCCTACTTTTACTTTTAATTATAATGAATCAATGAATTAATGATTGCTTTATTTTGGTTTAAAAATAAAAAATAAAATCATATATTTTTTTGTTGTTGCAAAGAATCAATCACACAGCCACTGACAAAGGAATAGGCTGAAGCCCCAAGGCTTATTTTTGCGTATCCTGTACCATCATAACAATAATTCACAATAAAACATGGGAACTAATGCATAATTACAAAACACATAAATTAAACTGAGAAATCAAACTCAGTCAAATTTCATTGTAACCTTTTATAATTTTAAAGTCTTCTTGAAAACTATATTAATATAGAGTTACACATCTTTATTTCATTGTTTAGTCCATTCCATAATTTTGCATCCAGAACTGACACACATCTGTTCCTGAGGTTAGTTCCAGCTTTGTAAGTTTTATCATTTGATGTCAGTAAAAATTAGACTCGTTTTGACAGGATTATCTGTGCAGCTTCACTAAAAGAGTAAAACTGGATGCAGAAAATGTTCCGTTAACAGAAACCGGTGCAGATTATTCAACATGAATCGTTTTAACCATCTAAACCTTATATTCATGGATTTTATAGGCCAGTGTATACATAAATATTAGCTCAAATGTGTGTTTTTAGAAATTAATTAATTAGAATAAAATACAAAGGTATAATTCTGTCATTTATAAAGCTTTAAATCTTTAACTTTAATTTGTAATATACTTCATCATCATCATCATCAGCATTATCATCATCATCATCATCATCCTCCTCATCAATCTCGTCATATTTCATGACCTCAGTCACACTCTGAAATTTATTTTATTTTATACATTAATACATTTTCCCTTTGTGTATATTTTTTTAAACATTTTTGTTGCATTTTAGAAATTATACTGGTGAAGATTATCAGTCATCCAGGTCATAGTCATTCAAAAACAATCCACTGGAATTTTGTTTCCAAGTTTGAAGACATTTTTCTTCCCATCCAGGAAGCTTTATTGGCTTCCTGGATGGGAAGAAAAATGTCTTCAAACTTGGAAACAAAGTTTTTTTTTTTACTTTTTTTTTGGAAAGGCAGAAGTTATATTTCCAGGATTTGTCTTTTTTTCCTGACTTTAAAAAAAAAAAAAAACAAAAAAAAACATTTAAATTAAATTTGTTTTTAAATTAACTAGAACTGTCTACGAATATATAGCGGCATCATATCAATGTTTTATCGCTGAAAAGGTGAAAACCAGATGCTATTTAGGTGGTTTAGAATTAAATAGCGAGATTTAGATTAAAATAATTAAAATAAACCCACAAGTACTTGACACCTAGAATCCTTGAAGATGCCATAGCGACTTTTTATCACCAGGGGGCAGCACACGACTAAAGCATTAAATAAGGCCTGTTAGAGATTAAAAGTTTCTATTTTATAGTATTTAATTCGTAATTCAATCTCCGTTTTCGCTCGTAGTATTTTAAAATATCAACATAATGGAAAGAATGGTGATTAACGGATATATTTCCTGAAGGAAATCTTTCTGTTGTGACATAAAGTAAACAAAGCAAACTCCACTGGTAAAGTTGATGGCTGTATTTTAACATGTGTGAGTGGTTGTTGCTGCAGTGATTAAACTTTTAAATTTCTCCATTGTTAGGGTGAAGCTACACAAAAGTGAAAGAGATATAAACCAGTTCCCAACAGGTGGCTGATTTGATTTCAAAATAAAAGTTCCAAACACTGTACTAATGTTGCAAAAATAAAATAAATAAATAAGCAAATTAACGATTTAACAAAACTCATGCTATTTTTCTTAGGAGAATCATTAAAATCTATTTAAGATTTTAACATTTTGCTTCAGTAGCATAATCTCAGTGAAAATATTCTAGAAAAAAAATCCAGTCTTGTTATATAAACTACAACTGGATTTTGTTTGTGAACTTAAATACAACTGGGATACTCTTTGACTTTGATCAGGCACCGCATCAACTAATAACATTGTGTTTCTGTAGATTAAACATTTACTATCCTGCCATCACACACAACGTAAATATTTTAATTTTTTATTGGATGTCTCTGGACTGGAAGGTAAAGCTGTAAGAGCAGAACCTTACAGTTGTGGGGAGGCTTTTATTGTGAAAAGCACCCAGCAGGAGTTGGTTTCTGAACTTGACAGCAGTGCTGAAGTGTTTAGCTGGTGTCTGGGAGCAGAAAATGTGCAGAGTGAGCGGCTGATAGGAGAGGAGGTCGCAGAGCAGAGAGGGAAACCCTGCAGAGGATCAGCTTCTGGTTCCCGGACTGCAGGTCGGTGCTGCTTTCTTTCTCTGAGCGTCTCTTCGCGGCTGGACGCTGATTAGTTAAAGATTCATTCAAAAAGCCTCATTAGTGACTCTGACTGCCTGTCTGCTCAGCAACTAAAGACAGACTGCTGAATTTTCTCCTATCTCTGTTAATGCATTTGTTTCTAAAATTATGCAACTTAATTGACCGCCATAATTAGAGTAGGTAGGCTAGAGAGAGAGAAAAATAAATAAATAAATAAATATATATATGTATAGATGTGTATATATATATATATATGTGTGTGTTTGTATGTATGTATATGTATATATATATATATATATATATATATATATATAGGGATGCACGATATAATCGCCCCCCTATCGGTATCAGCCTTAAAACTGAATATCGGACATCGGCCACCCCACCGATATTTAACCCAATATTTGATCAGCTTCTGAGTTTCTACTTCTTCTTCCTCAAAAACTTATTTTTTACAGACTTAAAAACTTCTAAAGACGAGGGAAAAAATATTGATCCATTAAAATATCCCAATATCTTCATATGCTGATATATTGCCATTTAAAAACACCATATCAATCTCTTTTACTAATGAAATATTGCTATGTGTCATCGTTATGCTACGAAATCCCCCGAAAACTCCCGAAATTTTGCCATATTTTTATATGTTGATATATTGACGCGGTATCGATCTATTTTACTAACAAAATCTCACAAGAATTTGCAAAATATCACGAGAGTTTGTAACAGAACGATGAAATTTCACGAGATTGTGAAAGTAAAATAGATCGATACCGCGTTTTTAAAAATCAATTTGATATCAGCATATGAAAATATATTTGAGTATATTATTTTTCAAAGTGTCAGAAATGGATAACAAAACTGCTATTTTCAATGACTACTTATTTTTGTCCAGCTTTAACATCGGTATCGATATCAGTTATCGGCTACATGAGTTTTAAAATATCGGATATCGGATATCGGCCAAAATCCCAATATCGTGCATCCCTAATATATATATATATATATATATATATATATATATATATATATATGCCAATTTTGAAATAGTTGAAATAGCTGAAGAAATATTTTATTGTCCTAAATAACAGAGTAAATAAAATTTACTCTCAGTTATTTATTCTGGTATTTTAATCCAGCTACTGGCGTGTGTAGTCCTGTGAAGTATCTGAAGTTTTTTGCTTATCATAGACATTCCAGTCTTTTGATTTTGAAACTGTTCAGTATCTGATTTGATGTTGGTTCAATAGAGTCTGACTTCATTATTATTATTATTATTTGATTTTATACGAAGCATCTTTATACATTTTAGAGAGTTTCCAAAGCTTTATTCAGCTCCAAATCAGTTTTGGTGTTTTATTTTTAGGCTTGGTCTAGTTTGAGAATCCAGGATGTCATGAACAGGAGGACTGCAAAAATGTCCTTCTCCATGCTAGTTTATATCATATCATCTAAATCTCTCATCATAATAAGTATTTAGATTTATCATCTGAATGGTGAACTAGATTTTATTATGTTTAAAAAAATGGCGAATCATCAGAATTTTTATTTTTGTCCTTTTTTCCTTTCTTTTTTCCATTCTTGGCTGGACAAATGTGAATGATTGGATTAAACATGCTTACTGTGGGATGTTTAATGATGCAGATCACACCTCTTTATGTAGCTGTTGTCCTAAAAAGGCCTATTTGTAATGTGTGTATTATTTTAGAGCAGTGATTATGAGCCTTGAAACACTTTGCAGTTACAACCATAGACTGACCCAAGAAAGACTGTAAAGAAGTAATGAAGAGTATTTTTTATCGTTATCATGACGATAAAACAAAACACCATGATAAGAAGTCCATATCACTCAGCCCTATTTCACATCAACAAAGACCGACAGGATGACAGGGTGGGGGGTGTTCTCCTATTCTCCTAAAGTTCAGCAGCTCGTAAGGTTGACTAAAATATGTAGGTGGCAGCAAGTGGAAAAGAGTTTGACATTCAGAGGAGACGGACACTGAGCTGACCTGCTGTCAGGCATAGTGGTGGTGGTACCATTATACGGGCTGGGCTGTCAGTGGCATTGGAGAATTTCTCAAACTGAACCAGTTACTAAAGGAGGAAAAGTACCTGCAGGTTCCTTTGGATTCTTACCATTATCTAGAACAGAGGGTCACCGATTAAAAATCAGCGGAGTCCAAATAAAGAAAATCATCAACCAGTAAAGGTCATTTTTAATTATAATCTGTTACTTTAAACATAATTTAATTACTTGCCACAGGTTTGCCTGCAGTGTCTAAAAGTAGCAGCAGCGACCCAGACTGACAGCAGCTCATTGGCTAATCGGTGTCACATGCAGCCTGGTCCCAGAGGGCTTCACCGCACAAACAGGAGAAGTGGAGCAAGTGAAGTTAGACACTGTCGTCGGACAACATGCAGTAATTTATAAATGTTTTAAATCGGGTTGGGTCCGAATCCGGACCCTGGTCCGCTAATCTGTGACCTCTGATCTAGAAGATAGAAACGTAGCTGTTTTCTAAAAAAGAAGGATGAAGGATACATTTACCTTTCCTAAACGCTGCCTTGGGCTGCTTAAAAAAAACAAATTACAATCTAGAATCAATTCTCATTAGTTTCTAAAGATGGATTTATATAACCTCAGATTGATTTAAAAAAAAGATGACGTTTCCGGGTGTGCTTTGGTGGCGCAGTGGTTAGCGCACACGACCCATGTACGGAGGCCTTAAGGGAGGATTAGACTGCTGCAAAAGCTCACATCAAATGTCGCTTGTGTCTGGCCGTGAACCAGTTTTGCTCGTATGCTTCTGTACCGTCTGTCTGGAATTTCTAGGGACGCACAGCAGTTTCCCACCAAAGCATAAGGTGGAGCCTATTTTCAAGAACTTGCGAGAACTTCGATGGATGGTCACGAGAACTTCGGCGGGGGTGTTTATTTTCCAAAACCTGTCTGATCGTACAAGTGGTTGAACTTCCAAACCTCCTCAATCAACCTTTCATCATGGTTATCCATTGTTGTCTTTACTGCTGGATTTTTAAAAATGGTGCGCCTCAGCACCGAATCGAGAAGGACGACCACACAGACGGCTGGAAAGGAATACGAAGGACCAATCACAGCTGCTTTATGTCTGCGTATGTCCGCTTGAGGTCTGCGCGGGTTTTCGACGGTCTGTGTAGATTTTTTTGAGGTGCAAGACGACGGTTGCAGAGCCTCTGCGCGGGGGGCGCGGTCGCGCACAGAGACAGATTTTACGGTTGCAGAGGCTATGCATCAGAAGCATAAATTGGCCTTTAGTCCTCGATATGTCCGACCTGTGGTCCTTTCCAGGAGCCACTAGTGCTTTAACAACTTAAAAAAAAAAGACGTTTCCACCATCAATGAGTTCCATTACTTTATTAATTTGCTGTTGTTTCACGAGGAGAAATGGGCTCATGCATGCAATTGCATGCGCAAATTTTTTTTTAAAATGGAGAGGGCGAGTCTTAAAAAAACTCCTCCACAAAACCTTTACTGTAACAATGGTATCATATAATGCAAAACTACAGTTAGGTAATTTAGGTAACAGCTGAAGAATATATATTTTTAATACCAGCAATCCAGTTTGATGTTGGATTGCATCAGATCAGATCAAAAAGAATTGATTATAAATCTGGAGAATTGGAATTGAACGGATTCTTGTCATTTGAATTGATACCCAGCCCTACAGCCGACCACGTTTTTGTTTTTTCCAGAAAACTTGTGACATGTGCTTCAAAATAAGATTCTTTAAAGAAATAGATTAAATGAGTAAAATGTCCTGCCAGCAGTAAATCATGTTGACCTGCTGAGAGATGTTTGATCAACTGTTAATGGAGGTGCATCCAAATAATAAAGCCTGTATACATGATCTTGACCTGATTGGGATTATACAAAATCTACAATAAATTCAGTTTCTTCTGCACCAAATTTTTTATTTATTTTTTTCAATCATCAGGTACAGGGTTCCTGCAGGTCATTAAAAGTCATTAAATTTATTATTTTGTAAATTTAGGCCTTAATTGGCATTAAAATTCAATAAATGTGGTTAGCATGGCATTTAAAATGCTTTATTTAAAAAAAAAAAAAAAAAAGTTTGTAAAAAATAAATAAATTGTCAAATATATTATATTGCAATTTATTTGCGTGGAAGTGCTTTCCGGTTGATCGTAAAGCTGTATGTACTTAAAAACTAAGCTTGAGGTGAAGAAAAAAACGATTATACGAGTATGAAAATGCAAATAAAAAAAAAATATAAATATATATATATATATAAAACACTTGTTGATGGCATTATAAGCATTAAATTAGAGTTACTCATTCCTTTATAAACCCTGAATTAAATAGTTTCAAACCCAAATGGATGTGGTTTTTCCTCACTGTAAGGAGTTAACTCCACCCTCCACAGGTGGCTCCATGCCTCCTGAGAGCTGAAATCCAGTCATGCAGAAGGATTTCATCATTATACCCTCACCTACTTATCTTTGGCCTAATGTTTCAGATGTTTGGGGGAAGAAAAAAAAAACAACCTCCACTCAGTTCAGCCTTGTTGTTTCTGGAAGCTCTTTGCTGCTCCTCCTTTTCACCATCAGGATACATGCCAGGTTTAACAATTGGTGTGTCTGTAATTCATTGGATTACTGATGTGATGCGAATGAGGATTAGGAGCAGCAGGTGCTACGAGGAGCTTACGGCTGCTGAATGAACATGTCGGTGAAAAGCAGCTTGGTCAGCGCCAATGGCTTAAAGGTCACAGGTCTGATGGAGGAGATTCTTACTAATGTTCCTAACAGCTACAAACACCTGATGACTCGCTGCTGATTTTATACCTCAGTCTGAACTGCACTGTCGCCTTGATTACCACCCGGCAGGAAGGGACGACTGCTGTTTTACAAACCATGCATTCCTGTTATTTTTATTTTTATTTGTATGTAGAAAGGAAACCAGAACAATGGATCTTTTT